GTGCATCAGAAATGAACTTTCCGAGCACGATTTACAGAAGTTAGATGATGCTGGTTGCATTCTCGTTCTTGGCACTTATCTTCGTGATGTAAAACGGGGTGACAACAAACAAAAGAAAGCAGACTTGGTGGCAGATACACTTCGTGCATATTTGTCTACAGCTCACAAATACTTGCAACATCGCCTAGGCAGATCTATCAATGTTATGGATCCAGCATATGGTGGTAAACAGAATCGATATCATCCATTTCTCTACCAACAGATCCATGATCGTGGTTGTTGGCAACAAAAGCATGAACGATACAAACCATTCACAATGGAAATGTTTCTTGCATTGCAACGATGGCTTGCTGGTGAACCAAATCCAACCGTAACCTTCCTTGGAAAGACACATTCTGTCTATGATTGGACCCGTATCGGCATCTTCACTGGCGTTCGGGCTAGCGAATATTCTCAAGGCGACTTGGGTCGTGGAGAATTATTCAACAAGATTCCAGACAAACATGACGTTCCCAAACAGTTCCGGGGCATGCCTCTTGCAATGATGGCTCAGGACTTTCGCTTCTTTGACAAGCACTATGTGTTAATCCCACACAAACATTTGATCACAAGGTATAAACGTGATGATGTTGTGCGGCTTGAACTTCGATGGAAATATGATAAGAGCTCTTTCAACTTTGTGAAGAAACGCTTCAAAATCACAGGCCATCCTATCTACTGTCCCGTGGATGCCGCTGTCTGCATCATTCATTGGTCGACTCTTCTTGGTGTTCCCACCGCCTATCCTGTTGGCGTTTGGGGTTCCAACACCTCATCTCCTTATCGCTTCTTGAAATCTAGGGAGGTTTCTGAGGTGATGCGCGGTTCGGTTGATATGGCATATCCCGACCCAAACCACTATTTGCGGATTAACCGCCATCTTATTGTTCCTCATTCCAACCGTGTCACCGCCGCAGTGTGCTTACAAAAAGGTGGAGCCAATAATGACGAAATCGCGTTCCGATTACGCTGGCTTCCGAGCTCTGTGCCCACCTACCTTCGCGACTGCTTCCAATCTATTGGTGACACGCTTGAGCGAACAATTCAAGGAGCGCTGAAGTTGACATTTTCTTCTTCTTCTTCTTCTTCTTAGATCCTCCTTTTCCTTCCGACCTTTCTTCCTTTTCCTGCTTTCTTCCTGTTTCTTCTTTGTTTCTTCTATGGTGCTTCGTGTGTTGTGGTGGTTGGTTGATTACACCATGATCATCAACTTTTGGTAGGCAAGCAAGTCTTTGATATTCCGCGAAGCGGAATATCAAAGACTGGCCTTTTGGAACCGCACGCTTCGCGCGCAATCCAAAAGACCAGCTTCACACCACAACCCACCAGAGTCACACCAAGAAAGAATCCCTCACGGAAGAAACCAGGCGGCAGGCGCCAGTTGGCTATCTTCGATAGTACAAGCCCAGCAATGAAGATTCTCTAGTCCTATCACAAAACCAAAAGCCAACTATTCAAACGGTGACGACGACATGATTACATCTGCTATCATCATGTTCGTCACTACCAGGGTTCTTGACAGTTACGTTTGATATTATTCTAAAAATCGAGAAGGTCTGAAAGACGCCTTGGTTTGTCATCGTCCAGTACTTCCGAGACAGTCCTCGATGGTTTCTCCCCCGCCATTTTGGGTGATAGTTCCGATAAAGTCAATGGGCCTATATTGTTCGACTTTTCGTCTTTCTTCTCATCTTTTCCACCCCCAAAACTGAACCAACCCCCCGCGTTGCTTTCAGGAGATGATTTGTTGGCGATAGCCGCTGCGTTGGTAGCAGCTTGGTGTTCTCGTTGTCGTGAACTAGCCAATTCTTTTTTCAATTTTTCGATTTCCGATACGAAAAACTTCTTTTCAGTCTCCAGGTTCTGGACGTAGTGAGTCAAATCCGAAACATGCCGTTTTTCTCGCAGCGTTTCGAGTTCTTGCTCGAGCTTGGCCATTTCTCTGGCTTGTTGCTCAAGCGCCTCGTCCTTGCGACTTAAATTTGATCTTAGCTGCAAGAGTTCTCCTTGGGCTTTGCCACCCAAAGAAGCCATGGACATGAATCCGCTTTGATTGCCTGACTCCCAGTCGTCACTTGCATCATCTTCCATTAATTCCATGGACCCACCTTCGCCAAGCACACCGACGGATACTTGGCGCTTGAGGTCTGACTCTGCTTCCTTCACTAACGAGGCAATGGTTTCTTGATTTCGTTCGTTCTTTTGTTGTAGCAGATCATTCTCCGCTTCAAGCATCAGATTCTTCGCTTTCAAATCTTCCACTTGAGCTGCTTCCCCACCATTGGCCAACTGGTCTTGGAGAGATTCAAGTTGGGATTGGAGCTCAACATTTTTCTCGGCTTCTTCGTTGAGCAATTGTTCTACCGACTCTTGCTTCATTTTCAACTCATACCTTTCTTGCGACCATACATTCCGTTCCTTTTCCAACATAGTTTCGTACTTGTGTAGTTCCGCGAGCAAAGTGCTGAACCTCTTGCCCTCTTGCTTCTTTTCCTCTTTGGACATCTTTGGTTTATTCTTGTCGTCTTTGTCATCATCTGATTCACTGCCATTAAAGGCAGCCAGGAAATCTTTTTGGTCATTGATTTTGCCCAGCACCATGGCAAAGGCTCGGATTTTTGAGGCAGCCTCCGCCTTGATTTTCTTTCCGTCAATTTCTTCTGGGTTCTGTCGACATGAGCTGAATACTTCAGGGTCGTGATTGCTTTCAGATGGCTCGTTTTCGGGAATGCTAGGACTGATGGGAGCCATCGGAGTTTTGCGTGAGGTTCTCATCATGTTCGGGGAAGAAAAAGTGAAGGAAGGGAGTCGAGAAGACGAAGAAGGTTTGCCGTGGTTGCTATCGCTTGACCGTTGGGAGCCGTCGAGATTGTCCGTCAGAGATTGCAGAGAGTTTCGAATCTTTTCTTTGAGCAAATTGGAAGCGATGAATATCGAGGAGGACGGCTTCTTTTTATCCGGAGACTCTCCAACGGGGATTTCATCGTCTCCAGATATGGTAACTTTCTTCTTTGACTTGGACTTTTTAATGGACTTTGGCTTCTTGGATTTCGTCTTGCTCTGCTTGTCAATCTCGGCAAAGGATTCAAACTCTCCTTGTGACTCTATTGTATCCAATGTCTTTTTGTCCTTCGCCTTTGCTTTTTTCGATTTGGGGGACTTGATGGATTTGGTCGATTTCGTTGATTTCTTGCTGCTGACCGATCCAGAAGTGCCACTCTTCTTCTTTTTCTTTGTTTTTCCAAGGTGGTCGTCGAGCGCCCCACCTTTTACCTTTTTCTTTTTGGATTTCGGTTTGCCCCCGTCGCCGATACTCGGTGCGGGGCTTGCGGGCACGGTAGTAGGACTTTCAGAACCATGCAGGATCTCGTCCTTTTTCTGAGGAGCTTCAATTGGAATAGTTTCATCTTGTGTAGTCCTTTCTGAGCCCTCCGGCACCACTCCCCCATCATCATTCTCTTCTTCATCGCTTGTATACAAGTCACTATCGTCGCCTTCATCGATGTCGCCAACCATACCAGCACCACCTGATGCTTTGTACGCTTTGGTGATTTGTTTATCAGCTTGAACACTCCATCTTGTATTCGCTTCATCAGCATGATAGGAATCGTCCATTTCTTGATTTAACGCTCTCTTTGCCACAGGACGCCTCATGGGAGCAGAAGCATAGGAGCTATCTGAGACGTCATCTTCGTCATAGATCTTTTCTGGATCCTCAAAGTCTTCATCTACCGCTGTTTCATCTCTTCTTCGATTCTTTCTTGTTCGTTTCTTCTTGAATAAGCCAGCGGATAATTGTTTCTTTCTACTTTTCGGTTTCCCGAGAGGACCATCTGATGAATTCAGCGAGTACGTTGAAGATAGATCATCGTCAGCAATGCTTCGTTCGTAATCTTCACCCTGCACTACGTCTTCGTCATCACCATCGCCTGCAGGCGTCCTGTCTTTTCTCCTTGGCTTTCTGGCGCGGTTTTTGAATAAACCGTCTGATATCCTCTTCATTCTGTTGCTGATGTATGTGCGTCGATATTAATAAGGTGTTGCTTTGAGAGATATACCATATAAATGATAAGAATGGTCTTCAGACGAGACGCGTTTCAGTTCGATACCGGCAGATGATAAAGCTCATACCTATATTATAAAATACCGGTATGTGCTGGAAGAATTTCACATGGGCTACAATATATACTGCGCGTATCATACCATGCGGTGAGCATTTTCTACTACCGGTAGGACATTCGCAATTCGAATGTTCTGCGCGTGCCGCGTGCCTATATCGTCTTTATATAGGAAAATATATTATTGAGTCGGAAAGCATTCGAAGAAGTCGGAAGTCCCAAACATCATGTTGGCTTATTATTATTGGCTTGGATTCCGCAAATGGCGAGGAGGACAATTCACCATATAACAATAAGGATCGGTCTTTTGCGGATATGTGGTATCAATCTAATATATGTTACGGTTGGCAGCACCAAGACTTGCTGTCGTTTTCTATTTGTACAGTCGTCGGTAATTGAATTGCCTCTAAAAATCGAGTAGACCTGATAGTCTAGCAGGTTGTTTCTCTTGTTGGACAGTTTCGGATTCTGATGATGACGGCTCCTCGTAAACCATCGATCCGTTTAAATCGTTGACGATATCCTTAGTTTTGTCTTTAGGAGCCAAGCGAGTGGCTGCTTCCGTTTTGCTGGGCGTTCTTGATCCAAATCCAAACCAACCCGAGTCGACAGTTTCTTTCTCTGCCTGTGGAGGCGTAGGCGCAGTTGTGCCAGTAGCTGCTTCTGCCGCTGCCATTTCTCGCCTGCGAGATTCATCCAATTCCTTTTTTAGCTTTCCGATCTCGGATACAAAGAACTTCTTTTCATTCTCCAAATTCTCGACGTGTCTGGTCAAGTTCTTGACTCCCTGATCTTCCTTCAAAGTTTCCAAATCTCTCTTGACTTGTGCAAGTTCCTTGGCTTGTTCTTCCAAAGCTGATGTCTTGTTCTTGAGCGTAGACCTCAACTGAAGAAGTTCTCCTTGGGCTTTGCCGCTCATCGAAGACATTGACATGAATCCACTTTGTTCGTCCCAGTCGGGAGAATCGTCATCGTCCATTCGCAACTCCGTCGACCCCTCTTCGGCAATGGAAGGACGGGTAGGACGAAATTTGCGCCGGGTGGTAGAGGGAGACACCAAGTAGTTATCCAAAGTGGGTTTGCGATCTTCCAAAGGACCAACTGAGAGTTGGCGCTTCATTTCGGACTTTTCGGCAACCATAATAGAGTTGATGGTTTCTTGTTGGCGTTCATTCTTCTGTTGAAGGAGTTCGTTCTCGGCTTCGAGAACGCGATTCTTTTCCTTGACGTCTTCCAGCTGAGTATCTTGGCCACCATTGTAGAACTGATCTTGGAGTTGTTGCATTTGCAGTTGCAATTCTCGATTCTTTTCTGTTTCTTCTTGCAGCAGCTGCTCGACGGATTCTTGCTGAAGCTGCATGGTGGCCTTAATGTCGGCCATTTCCTCTCGTTCCTTCTCCAACATGATCTCGTATTGCTGTAGCTCGCTGACCAGCTTGTTGTAGCTCTTTTCTCTGTGTTGATTACTGTTTTGGGCCATGGTGGTGTCATCTTCCTTATCGTCTTCTGCATTATTGAAAGCAGCTAAGAATTGCTTTTGATCTTGGATTCTGTCTCGAAAGATGGCAAAGGCTCGAATCCTGGTCACTGCATCAGCTTTGAGTTTTTTGCCGTCAATGTCCTTCGGTTGTGAATGATGATCTTGGGTGGGTTGATCCGAGGATGGGCTTTGTGACTCATCGTCGATATTGGACAACCTTGCCTTCGAGACAAAGTTATTTCGAATCGACATATAGAGTGGGTTGTTTTGGAAGAAGTTTGATCGGATAGATAGCTTGGTCACTGCGATCTTCTTCTCATCAGAGGCATCTCCAACTGGAGGTGCAATACCCTTCTTGGTCTTCTTTTTGGACTTGCTATTCTTCTTTTCCGAAAGCTTGTCAATTTCGGCAAAGGATTGAATATCGGATGTATCCTTCGACTTTTTCGTTTTGTCAGTCTTTCCTTTCTTTTTACTTTTGCTCGAATCAGCGGAAGTAACTGTGGAAGCACCGCCGGCAGCCTTCTTCTTTTTCTTCTTTAGCTTTCCAGGAGACACCAGTGGCATTGCGGCGTCAATTTTCTTCACTTTCTTTCGCTTTGGCGAATTTGGTGACTTGGAATCCTTGTTGGTGGTCTTCTTTGGACTGGTAACTGCGGCAACGTCACTGTTCTTAGAAGCATGCTCTGCTGGTTCGTCGGCATCGCCATCAGATGTGTAGATGTCATCATCTTCGTCGTGGTCGGCTTCATGGATGTTTTTACCAACAGCAACGCTCCATCTTGCGTCCTCTGCAACCTTTCCTTCAGGACCTGGCACGGGACTACTTGAAAAGGAAAGATCATCATCCGAGGCAGTTGGATCCTCGTCGGCGCTTGCTTTCTGAGCAATCTTTGCCCTACGGTTACCGACGCGGTTCTTGAATAACCCTCCAGAGATTCGTTTCATGTTGTTCTCTGCCTAGGCTGTACGCGGATAATTGCTGTCGATGAGGTGATATGGAAAAAGGTTATGCTTACAATATTATGGCGAGCTTACGGAAAAGCAGTTTTGTTGTTTTCTCTTTGGATCTTTGTTGGATTTGTGATGGATAAATCCAGCTGTGACAGAAATGTGTCTTGGCCAATAAATCCAGATCATTCCTCTCTTAAATAGCTTTCTTCAGATTTATGGACAGGCAAGACTGCAATCCTGCATGCAAACCGGATATGGCGCCATGCCGAACTGCGTGCGTAACAGTTTCGCTTTTATTATTCTGAACGAATTACGCCAATAAGTTCTTCATTGACTATAATTTGGCGACTACGACAGGAGTGCCATAGAGGGAATAGACTACTTTATAGATCGATGAATTTTTTCTTTCTAATCAAACATCTTAGTGCTAACGAGAGTATCTGTACATCTCTGGTGCTTATGTTTTCTATCTACCTGTGTCTATTTTAATACCAAGTTGGGTCACTCTTTTCAGTGAATTCAGGATGATCCGATTTGTCAAAGAAGTCAAGTAGATCCGTGTCTCTATTATTCGACCCATTTTCATTCGTCTTGTCACCGGATGGCACAGCAGGAGTCTGCTCCCCCACCATTTTGCGTGATATGGGCCACCAAGAACTCACCGTCTCTTGTTTGGTATTTGAAATGGAAGGTCTGGGACTTTCCACCGTTCTTCGGAACGACTTGGAAAGCCAAGAACCTTCTTTAGCACTTTTGCTAGTTGGCTCGAGAATCTCCTCCAACTCGGCGAGCGTTCTTGGTCCGGTGTTGCTTTGCTCCGGCACTTCTTGCAAGTTGTTGGAGGACAATGATGACCTTGTTTGAAGCCACGAACTTGCTGCAGCTGGAACGTCAGTAATACTGGTCTCAGTGGCAGCTTGTAGCTCTTGCTTCGTTCGTTTTAGCTCCTTCGTCAGCCTTTCAACTTCGGCTGCAAAGTTCCTCTTGTTGGCTTCCAGGGTCTCAATCTGCTTTTGCAGTGGCGAGACTTTTGTGTCCTGGTTCAAAGCATCATCCAACTCTTGCTTGGCTCGCGCCAACTCCTTCGAAAGATCTTCTATCATCGCCGTTTTGCTGTTTAGCGTGGATCGAAGTAGTAAGAGTTCCCCTTGGCTTTTCGCACCAAGCAACAACTTGCGTTTCATATCCTTCTCGGCAAGCCTTAGAGAATAAATAGACTCTTCATGCTGTGCGTTCTCTTGTTGAAGGTGGTCATTTCTTTCCTCCAACTTCAAAATCTTCTCTTTCAGTTCTTCTAATTCTCTTCCTTCAACATTAGCGTTGTCCAGTTGTGCCTGAAGTTGCGATTGAAGCTCTGCCTTTTGCTTAGTCTCTTCCTTCAACAACTGTTCGAACTCTTCCTTTTGCTTTGTCTCCTCCTTCAGTAATCGTTGGAACTCTTCCTTTTGCTTTGTCTCTTCCTGTAGCATCTTTTGGAGTTCTACCTTTTGCTGAATCTCTTCCTCAAGCAGTCGATCCGTTGGATCTTGCTTGAAATGAAGGCTTCTTGAATGGTTTGAAAGTTCCATTCGCTCTTCTTCCAATTTAGATTCGTAACTATTGAACTTGTTGACAAGTTTGTCCAAAGTAGCTTGTTTCCGTTTCCTCCGTTCCGCCAATGTCGGACTCGGAATTATCTCTCGCAGCATATTATCCTCCTCATGCTCAGGTTCATTTGGGGCGTCAGGAGTGGTGGTGGGGTTCTGTAAGTCGAGACTGTAATGTAACGCGTTGGCCTCTGGTGGGTCAATAGCAGTAGACGGCTGTTGGCTTGTGCCATGGCTTTCAGCCATATCGTTGCCGGATGATGCGGAGGGACTGTTGGAAGGGGTGTTCATATCGCAAGCCTCGTCTGATGGTACAAGGATGCTCTTCTTTGGCTCTTGACTTTCAGTGGTGGGATTGCTGCTAGGTACGGAAGCATTGTTTGAATCCGGAGCCTCATCGGATGGAAAGCTGATTCTCTTCTTTGGCTCTTGACTGTCACGGGTATGGCTGCTGGAGGATACTGAAGCATTGTTGGAATCGTGTGCCTCGGTCATGCTGATTCTCACCTCTTGTGATTGACTTTCAGAGTCACGGCTGCCTGAGGAGGAGCAAGGAATGTAGGATATAGAAAGCTGATCGGACGACATACTCTTTGATCCAACGCTGCTTTGCCTCTTCGGCAGAGTTTTTGAACCAATACTGCTTTTCCTCTTCGGAACACTGCTGAATCGTTTTGGCTGAATCGTGGATCCAATATTACTTTGCCTCTTTGGCTGTGTCTTCGATTGTACGCTGCTAATACTGCTTTGCCTCTTTGGCTGGGTCTTTGATCCAACACTGCTGTGCCTCTTTGGCTTGTTATTAGATTCAACGCTGCTTCGTCTCTTTGGCTGACTCTTTGAATCAACACTGTTCTGACTCTTCCTTGTCTTCTTTTTAGACTTTGTCTTCACCTTTCGGTTCGATTCCTCGTCAAGATCTCGGAAGGACTCTGGAAGGTTCACTGAAAACGATGCACCATTTGAAATTGCATCCTTGTTGGCCTTCTTTGATATGTTTTTCTTCTTTTTCTTCTTTAGCTTGCCAGGCGAGTCTAAGGGAAAGCCATTTGTTTCAAGCTTCTTAGTTGTCTTTAGCTTTCGTGATTTTGGAGACTTAGATAGTGAGGAGGTGTTGGACTTGTTTGGACCAATAGTAGGAGCCTCCTTTTCAAAATCTCGGAACGATGCCCGATAGTGATCCGACGCGTGAATCTCGTCATCTTCAGCTTCGGCATCTTCTTCGACTGTCGCTACAGTTCGAAAAGTCCGTGAAGACTCCACCTTCTCCATCCTTCTGATGTATTGGAACACAGTTGTCTTGGGAAATTCTTCCTTTCTCTCGGAAGAAGAGGATCTGCTCTGTTCTTTAGTAGCAACAGGATCATCATTGAGAAACGAATCGCTACTCGATTCGTCATCGTCGACGTTAAGAGGTATGTTTCCTCGATTAGTGTTACCCCGAGTGCTGTTCGTACAAGGACGCAAGCTGAAGGAAGCTATGGAAAGTTCATCATCTTCATCTTCTGACAATGTTGGCTCTAAGGTTTCCTGAGTAGCCTTCGCCTGCTTGTCTGAAGTGTTGGCCTCCGACTTTCTGTTGTTCCGGAGCGGATTCTTGAAGATCCCTCCCGATATCTTCATCATCTTGCTTGCTTGTATGCTTTAGCACAGATGATCAAAACAATGAACATTCAAAATGAATAAATGCGTGAAGTTTCTGATGAGTCGCGTAAAAAATGTTGCTTTCCGACCGGTAACGTGAGTTTGAACCAGTGACAAAACTCTGCTCTGCACGTAATGTTTGCAACATATAATGTGTCTGTGAACTTTCCTTTATGTAATCCATTCCCGAACCGTTGTTAACATTTAATACCTCCAAGGAAGCCACTGTCCAATAGTAATTAGGGTTTTCTCCGAACGCCGTCTCTTTCCCCTTACTCATTATATATTGTTGACGAGTAATATCATCATACCGGTACCGGTAAATATATTATAAAATACATGATAGAAAATGGAATTGGCGACAAATATAGTCTATTGCAGTACCTGTGGTAAATACACTGTTACAATACATAATATATATTCACATCATGACAGTATCCAGGAGGACTGTCATTAAGTTACATGAAACCTTCCAAATTTAAAAATTAAGGAGTCTGTTCAGTCTCCTGAAAGAATAATCACCAGCAGCATCCGCCAGTGCTGCCAACGGTGCATTTGCATTGGACTGCAGAATCCACATCAGGGACCCCATTATTTCTTTTAAAATTCCGGCCGTATATCTTGGCCACAATTCTCTTTTTCTACTGAAATATCTCTCTGGAATATCCTTAGATACTTATGCAGTTATCCATCGCAGGACTTTATTGCAGATTCTTATTTTGACGGTCACTAAAATATTCCGGAACAATTTCATTTATGGTTCCCATCCATGAAATTATTTCAGGCGATTATTTCAAATTTCCTCCCCCCTAATGTATCCCATTATTGTCAACAAACCCTAAATCTGTGACTACTTGTTGTGGACAATTGGTCTGATCCAAACAAATGGTTGGAATAAAATTAGTGGTTTACTATATTGTAACAGCCTGTTAACTTTTGGCATAAAATGCTGCAATTTGCTGTTACACTTTCAGTCTAGTGTTTACGCTTGAAATACATTCCAGAGGCAAGTGTCTGAATGATGCAGCTGCATTCTTTTCTCAGGATATAATGGCAAATGTAATTGTATCCACACAATGGTAACTTTAAAATTGTATAAATATGAACTATGAATGTATTGTACCAATTAGACTCCATATACTGCTAGATCAGCCCAGTTGTTTTGGATCACAACCTGATCCGCTGGGGCAGGAGCAACTTCCTCTGCGTTGAATATGAAAGTTGTCTCAAATTGAAGTCCTAGAGTTTCATCAGCACGCTGCTCCTTGATCCTACTGAACAATTTGTTGAACAAAGTGTAACCCTCCTCACTCCAACCCTCAGCCTTCCTGGAGCCCTGACCACTCCCCGTGAATTTAAAGTCACCAACTATTCTGCATTCTTGTGCTGCTAAGGGGACATGGGACTCCGAGCTGTCACTACCAGGAGAGTCAGAATCCCCTTCCAGCCCCCTTGCATCAGGAGACTCATTTCCATTGTTAGTCCCAATACCACCACTGGCCTCAGCCTCAGCAAGTTTTTTCTCCGCCTCCGCCTTCCATGCGTCATACCCATTGTCATATGCAAGCACCAAAAAAGCCTCAAGACATTCAGGCACAAATCCTGATATAGTCTTTTTCATTGACAAGGCAGTAAACTTCTGTCCATAAATCGCCCTCATGAAGTTCTTCAAGAACAGAATGTAGATGTCAGTGTTCTCCCGCAGTCCAGCAATATTGCCCTCTGCCCCTACCGAATATACCATGCTTGGTTCTGGAGGCTGAACCCTTTCTGGGTTCATGAACATGCCTGGTATGATAAGGTTAGTGGGGGTACTAATACTACATGCTAACCATGACACCAGTATTACTCACCAATGACCAGACCCTTCAAAGTGTTGCTCAACGTCTGTCTTTTACTATTCAGAGCCTTCCGATAGGCATTTTTTCCACTAGCCTGCCACCAAGCAATCAAAGCTCGTTTAGATGCCCTGATCTTTGTATCCTGTAAACAGGCTTTATAAATGGGACCATTGGCATCTAAGTCACGTAAATTGATGAGAAAAATTTGATAACGAAAGAATTTAGTTGTACAGGATCTTCACACAAGACTGCTCCACTGTTCATGCTCATTACTTTGATCCTTAAAGGGTTGGGATTCCAGCTCCACTTCCACGCTTTGACCTGGAGGAAACCTTTGCATTTTTGTGTGTCAGAGAAGTTATGAAAAAAATTGCTCCCTCCAACGCCCTTTTGCTGCCACTTTCTGATCTACCTGTCACTTCAGTACTGTACTAGTACTAGCTCTACTGCTGTCATTGGTGCGCCTTGGTGCACTGTAGACTTTCTTACCCAGTCTACACACACACAAAATGGCGCGATTCTGCGCCATAGTTTTGTGTCCTTTTGCATGTCCTGACTTCTCTGACTATCGACAATTGACTTAACAGGATTAATCCAACAAACTGCGACCAAAAAACCAGTCCCCTTTTTCTCCCTCAAAACGTAGTTTTCACTGTATTTGCACCAAATTGCCCCTTTTTACCGCCGCACCCACAACACACAACACCAAGAATACGATTGATCCAACTGTCGATGGCTTCGAGGATTTACAATCGCCCACCAGAAATTCATCAGGACACAAAACAAAAGTACTATTATTTTTGTTACAGTAGTATGTCGCTGTTTGCTATTGCTATGCTTTCATTTCCTCTTCTCTTTTGAGCAAAGAAAATGTTGTCGTCGTCGTCGTCGTCATCGTCGCATCAAACTTTCATCTTGTCTTCAAACTTTTTGCTGTCTCCTCTGACCTCCCTTCCCTAACCTAAAGAAACTTCGAAAGATGGCTCCTCTTTTTTTGTACAAGGATGGGTGTCTCTCAACACCCTTGCCATTGCCCATACAATCCCTTCTGTTTGTAGGGTTTCATCCGGGTTACCCGGTTATCAACTTTCCCGCAAGTACACCTAAATTTTGGGAATTTCCAGGATTCGCTGAAAACACACTTACTTTCGGGATACTTGATAACCTGGAAAAGGAAATCGAATTTGAATAATAAAATACGTATGAAATCGAATACTAATAATAAAATACATATTGAAATCGAGTACGAATAATAAAATACGTATTGAAATCGAATACGAATAATAGAATACAATACTTTTTTGACATCAATGGCTAATAGCACCCCCTTTTCAATAACGTTCTTTTTTTGCCAACGTTATTTTTAAAAAACCTCATTTAGAAATATTTTATATATGACATTTTAAAAAACAATTCCAACGTTTTTTGTTAATTAAATTTTTTTTAAAAACACTTAGACGATTTCAAACAGAAGCATTTACTTGTACAGCATTGTTCCTTCAATACAATGAGGCGTGTGCAAACATTGCCAACACCACCCTCAAACACTGTAGTACAAGCAGCTTCAGCCATGGACTGTGGAGATGGCTCATCCCAAGCTACCAAACTAGGGCCCAATAAACCACCCCAAACCTCCCAAAAAAGGTCTCAAGAAGATGTTTCACGCTTAAACAGGAATGGAAACACTGCAAAGAAAAAGAAACATGAAGGGGTCTTCATAGACCTTTGTCAGGATTATAATGTTCCAGAGCTCCAACAGCAGCTATTCCAAGCAGCACCTGCAGAGGAACTGGTTTCCTCTCTAATTGGATCTACTGGTCTTTCTTTCTCACGGGAATCCAAAAACTATAGTAGGAGTGTTGCTGTATATATATTCTTTTTCAGTAGGAACCTTGGTGTAAAGCCCTA